TGTGATCTCCCAGTTGTGTGATTGAGCCCTGAGTTGGGCTCTGCGCTGACAGCACAAAGACTGGGATTCTCTCTCTCTCTCTCTCTGCCCCTCCAGCACTTGTGCGTGCATGCATGCTCTCTCTTTTCCTCTCTCCCTCACTCAAAATTAAATAAATAAACTTTAAATAAAGAAGTGTGTTTAACATGTAAACACACAATTGTAAATACATGCACACACACACATTGAAAGCCTACCACGGAATTCTGATGCTTTCATTCAGACCGACATCTTAGCGGTAAAGTCTTTAAGCACATTAGAGCAGGAGATTGAAGCTGGATTTCTGGAAGCTGGATTCACTCTACCATTAACTAGCTATGCGATCTTAGGCAAGCCACTAAGAGATTTACCCAATCTGGGTCACAGTTTCTTCATCTCTAAAATAAATACAAGGACTGAGCTGCTGAAAGCTCCCAGGTCTCTTTCAGCTGTAAAACCCTAGGATTCAAAGTCAGTGTGGATTTGCACTTAGGCTCCAGCCGTGGCCACAGCTCCAGTTTCTATAAAGCAGGAAGTAAGGGGCCTTAGTCAGATAACCACCAAATCTCATCAATTCACTTGCAGAAGTCCCAAAGCCAGAAAACAGCAAAGCCAGGATTCAAGACCTCTGAGTTCTCCTGAGGATGGGAGTTCTAGCTCCACTGGGCTACTCACTGGGTAATGTTTGTTGTGTGTTGGCATGGGACAGGAAGCAAACCCTTTAAGCCGAATGTGGCTTTCAACCTCTTGTAATCTGAGTGTATGTAATAAACACCACACAGTCATTCAGAGAACTTATTCATCTGAAATAAGTCATTCAGAGAACTTATTCATCTGAAATAAGGTGGGCAGAGGAAACAAGGACAAAATGATCTGAACATCTGAAAGAGAGCAATATGATCCTGGCACAAAGGCATGTATATTTTACTCACAAAAGGAGCTTTTCACCTCTCTCACAGAACCTCTTTCTGGTTGTGTATAGAGTATTATCACTTCTCAGAGTGTCAATTATATTTTCTAAAGATGGCCACAACAGTATCTCCCATCTTACGTGGTCTTCTATGATGTGATTGTGCACTCTGCCATCACAACTTGGAGTCCAACTCCCCTCCATTGAATGGGGCCAGCCTGGGACTTGTGTCTAACCAACAAAATAATGCTGGGTGAATGCTTCCACCTAGTTTCCTTGGGATGCTTACTCTGGGGAAAGTCAGCCACCATGTAAACTGTCCAACTACTCTGAGACCACCTTGCAAAGGAGGCCACATGTAGGGAATATGGTTGACAGTTCCAGCTATGTCTGGCCTCATAGGAATCCCCTCAAAGACACCATCCATGTGAGTAAAGCCCTCTTAGACTCTCCAGAAGAGTCCTTTCACTAGCTGAGTACCACTGTTTGAACTCAATCAAATCACATGGAGTAGAAGAATTGCTTAGCTGAGTCCCTCTCAAATTCATGACCTGCAGAATATGTAAATTATAATAAAATGTTTGTTATAAGCTGCTAAATTCTGGGGCACTTTGTTACGCAGCAATATGTGACCAGAACACTTCATCAAAAGCAGATGCGAGGTGGCAAATTAGAAAGAGGGACTGTACTGGTAGAAGAAAATGTACAGAGAAGCGAGTGACAGCTGATGGCCCAATGACACAGGAGACAGAAAAACATTAAGAGAGATGCAGGAAAAAAGAAAAGAAAAATATGAAGACAGTTGCAAGAACCAGAGTACTTCAATCAAGGACCTTTAAGAGCAGACATCAATGGTCCCTCCACCTCACTATGCCTGACTGACAGTGTCAGGGTGACACATTCCATTGTATTTCTCTCCTTGCTATCTCCAATTCTTCTGCCACCATAGCCCAAAGAAAAGGGAAGAGCAAAACCCTCCCCAGAAAGGAGGGAAGGAAGTGGATGTGACATATTCCTTCCTGGTAGGAAGGGGAAGTAGAAGAAAAGGCTTTGGGGGCTCCAGGGTGAAAGGAGGAAAACCACAAGAGCAAGTAGGCATATTGGCATGCTCCTGAGACACACGGTAGAAGGGATGGGGGTGGGGGAGCAACTGAGAGCAGAGAAACTTTTGTTCTGCTTTCAAATTGGGTCTCCAGAGGAACCGCACCATGGTAAAGCAAGGCATCCTGACCAAGTGGGGGTGCTAAGGAAGAAGGGAAATAATGGCATGGCATGTTCAGGTAGAGGGATGCAAGGGTTAGTCCCCTGCTAGATTGAGTTCTTCACTGATGGAGAAGAGATCCAGATATTCCCCTGTGCTTCCAGTGGAGAATGGGAGGTAAACTGAGATCTGGGCTACTATGGGGCTGACATGATGAAAGACGAGGTGACTTGAAGCCAAGACTGCCAGATATTCAGTCCATGAGGAGCAGTGTGGCCAAATGTGGAAACATACCCCCAACAGGTGGTAAATTCCACATCCTTAAGCCCTGATCTCTTCACCCTCTACTACCATGGCTTTTCTGGGGTTCCCCTGAGATCTTCTTGGTCCAGCAACAAATACTACAGCATCCATTCAAGTTGGTTGATGTTCGTTCATCTCTGCTGGTTGTTAAATATTCTGAGTATAATCTGCACAAGTGGCCAGTCTAAGCCAGGAGAGAAACGTGGCTATGGCCAAGACACAGAGAACCTATGGAGCCAGTGAGGCACACAGTAGACCCAAGTTGGCCATTGTCATGGCTCTGACCCAGCTGCAAGATCAGACCATGGGTTTTCCCAGCCACAGAACTCAGCAGTAGATTCAGCAGGACACTACATGACCACCCCATCCAGAGACATCTCCATGGAAACCAGTGAAGTCTTCAGGCCATCAGGTGTGGACTGTCACCCTTCCCATTCTGCCCTGAGGACATGGCCTCCCTATTGTCAGACTCCTTCCTGGCTAGGAGGTGAGAAACTCTGAAAGCCTGAGCTCCACCCAAAAGAGACTGAATAAATCCAAGAGAGGCAAATGTGAGCCAGGAAGATGGGGATGACATTTTCCTAATGAAAAGGGGCCTCAAGACCAAATGAGATTCTTATCAAAATAGTGATTAAAGGTACAATTTTTAGCATCAATTTGTAGTGAGTATAAAGTTTCACCATGCTACATATATTTTAGAAAGAGTTCCTTCCAAAATTAAGTTGTCAAAAAAGGTGGGTTTTTCTCTTTATGCATTGAAAGATCATCTTCCACTCCCTGGAAAATGTGCCCAGCCAGGATGGCTTGTCCTCTGAGGGTCACAGAAGGTGGCAGCTTTCCCTAGCCCTGTGTCCAGCATGTCCATGAGAGCAGAGAAAAGTCAAGCGAAAACAAACAATTAAAAACTCAAACGATTTTGGGGTGCCTGGGTGGCTAAGCATCCGACTTCGGATCAGGTCATGATCTCATGGTTTGTGAGTTCGAGCCCCGCGTCGGGCTCTGTGCTGACAGCTCAGAACCTGGAGCCTGCTTTGGATTCTGTGTCTCCCTCTCTCTCTGCCTCTCCCCTGCTCACGCTTTGTCTCTCTCTGTCTCAAAAAAAAAAATAATAAAACATTTAAAAAAAAAACTCAAATGATTTTTATCTATACCGTCTGGGGAAATCCGTTGCCATGAGAAAGCCCACTAAAGCCCAGACTTACTGGGTTTTCCACAGACCCAAAAAGTCTCACCAGAGAGTCCTTTGCTGTCCTCTGTGTCTGGGGTCAAGCATTCCATTCACACACTAACCCCTCTGGCTGTTTTCAGCCCTGCGATGCCCAGCCACCTTGTCAAGAAGAGATCTATGAAGCTGGACGGTCTCAAATCCTGCTTCCTCCCAACCTGAGCAACATGCTGTGGTAGACAGACTCACGCTGACCAATATCTGGAACTTTTCTACTTTGGATACACACAGAATTTCACTTCTCTGTACCCTTGAAGTTAGGCATAGTCACATGACTGGTTATAGCCATGTAAAGTAAGTAGGAAGGATATGGATCACTAAGCATTTCATTTCTGGTGCCTACCCTCCAGCACTCTTTCTCTGAGCCCTTGTTTATTGATGGCGGCCACATAGGATGATCAAGTTATCCTGATAGGAGGCTGAAGTCTATCTACTTCCATCCATGGATCTACTCAGTTGTCTCTGCATGTCTTTCTCCTTCTGTTAAGTAGGAGAAACATCTATTTCCCACCCCAGCACTCATGTCAAAACAATCTAACAGATGGTCTTCATGAATTCTCTTTTGAAAATGTCTTCAAGTGGCTACAGTGAGCCGTCCACAGTCTCACACAGCTGACCAATGACAATGAGATAGCATGAGCAAAAGAAACTTGTGTTGTACTAAGCTACTGAGATGTTTTAGGTTTATCTCTAACTTGGAATGATATGCACAGCAACCAAAGAAAACAATTGTAATTGTTTTCTATTGTTGTGTAGAGATACCATGAACTTGGTGACTTAAAATAACACCCATTCGTTAGTCATACTGCTGTGGGTCAGATGTCTGGTCTCAGCTTGGATAAAGTCTCTGCTCAGGGTCTAGCAGACTATCAAAGCTCAGGGTCCTGTTCCAAGCGGTTTTTGGTAGGAGTCAGTTCCTTTTGATTGTACAACTGGGGTCCCCACTTTCGTGCCGGTTGTAAGCCAAGGCCACTCTCAGCAGCTAGAGGCCACCCACCATTTCCGGCCTCATGGCCACCTCCACAAGATGACAGTTTGTTTTCTCAAGGCCAATAGAACAATATCGGATGTTGCGTCATGTATGTCTGACCTCTTGACTCTGACCTCTAGACTTTTTTTTTTTTTTTATACAGTCTACCTGGTTGTATCAGGCACACCCAGGAAAACTCCTTTTGATCAACTTCAAGTCAGCTAGTCAGGGTCTTAAATTACACCTGCAAAATTCTTTCACCTTTGTGGTACAAGGTAAACCTAATCATTACATTCTTATATTCCCTCCTCATTCAGGGGAGGGGATATACAAGGACCTGGATCAGTGGGGGTCGTCTTAGGATTCTGCTTACCACAGACATTTAAAAAAACATTCTGATGAATATTAGCTCTAGAAAATTCAGGAACTATCCACAGCTTTGCTTTCACTTCTTCCTTGCTCCCAAGTAAGAAAACCTTGTCCCAAATGTTTTGAAGCCTTGCTATTCAAAGTGTCATCCATGACCAGCAGCATCACCTGTGAAGAGAGGTGAAATCGTAGGCCCCACCTCAGACTCAGGCATCAGATTTACGGGCATATTAACGAGATTTCTAGGTGATTGAGAAGCATTGATCTTTAGATTGGTTCATCCTTAAATAAAGTAGGCAGAGGTCTACATGGAGTGAGAGCACAGCTTATACTAAATTCCCATGCCCTGATCACTCCAGGCTTTCAGAGCGGTTTCTGAAATTTTGCTGTCAGAATCACATAATCTGATGATGATATAGAAGATGGTGATACTAGCTAACATTTACTGAACATCAATATACGCCAAGCAGTAGGCAAAGCTCTTTTAATTTCCCCAACGTGTAATGAGCTACATATTATTATTTTTGTTTTAGAGATGAAGACATGGAGGCTTACAAGAAGAGTTCCTTACTCCTCTATGGAAAAACAAATAAAAGTGGTGGGGCCAGGATTTGCCATAACTCAGGGTGTATGTGATTGTATTGTCAGAAGTTGTCAAGGCTAGTCCGTGAATCACAAACTAGGGTCCGGGCCAATTCAGCTTGTGAGTAAGCATAATTCAGCCAGAATGTTGGTATTACTTTTCACTGAATTTCTTTCCCAAGGGACAACCTTATTCCAATTGGCCACAAACCCTATCACTCACAGACTCACAGAGTTGATTTACTGCCTGGACTGTGAATATACTCAAGCCTGAAATCCCCAATTAAGTCCACGTATTCTTGAATTTCCCCTTGACATTTCATGACAAATGTGGGTGGTATGAATACTTTCCAGAGATCCTTAACAACAGCAAAGAACCTCTGCTCCCTAACCCATCCCTGTCATCTGATGAGTGAAACTAATGTCCAGAAACTAAGGTACGTGTCTAAGTCACATAGCAAGATAATAGCAAGGTTCTAAATTGGGCTCTTTTGGCCCTGCAATCAAATATCACAATCATCTGCCTCCTCATGTTTAGGAAACTATTTATGCTCAATATGAAACAGAGGTTCTTAACCAAAGTATGTTTCAGAAACGTTTGGATGGAGGTTAATACAGATTCTCAGACTTCTCTCCTATTCACACCACTGGTGAGTCAAATGCCCATTAATCTGAGATTCATCAGATAAATTACAGGTTCATAACACAGAGTTTGAAGTTGAGCTAGTCCCTGAATAGTTAATAGAGGTGGGACAGTAAGGAGTATAAGGGACAGAATAGGGCAGTGGCTCTCAGCCTTGGTTATACATTGGAATTCCTGAAAAGTTTTAAATTTTTCTTTTAATGTTTATTTATTTTTGAGAGAGAGAGAGAGAGAGAGAGAGAGAGAGAGTGAGCAAGGAAGGTGAAGAAAGAGAGAGACACAGAATCCAAAGCAGGCTCCAGGTTCTGAGTATCAGCACAGAGCCCAAAGCAGGGCTCGAATTCACGGACCACGAGATCATGACCTAAGTCAAAGTCAGATACCTAACCAACTAAGCCATCAGACACCCCTAGAAAACTTTAAACACTACTAATGCCTGGGTCCCAGCCCCCGACGTTAATGATGTAATTGGTCCCAGGTACAGAGATTTTTAAAAGCTCCCCAACTGATTCTAACACTTGGCCAGGGCTGAGAACCACTGGAGTAGGGTCTCTGAGATGCTAGAGTATTAACAGCACCATCATCATTTTCCCTGTGACCCCACTGGGTTTGGCCCATCACCTGGCCACAGAAGCTTCCATATTCCTTTCATCTTTTTGCTGCCCTTTGCCACCCCCTTCCTATGTTAAGCAATGTTCCTTCATTAGTGAAGAACAAAATTGATAGGAGCCTGAGGTCAAGATTCAGACACTGAGGTACCTCTTGTTCCTGCTGTGATTATGTGTCCATCCGTTAAAAGAATTCTCCTATTTAAGACCTCCGGCCTCTGGTACTCATGTCAAACCCAGTGGGTCACTGAGAGCTGTTTTGAAAATGGCCTCAAAATGTTGTTGTCCTGAAACAACTCCCTGGTCAGTTTGCACTGGGTGTAAAACTTCTTGTTGTTGCCTAAAGAAGTGGTTCTCAAAGTGTGGTCCCCAGACCCGGAGCATCAGCATCACCGGGGAACTGCTCAGAGATGCAAGTCCTCAGACATTCTGCACACAAGTACTGAATCAGAAATCTGAGTAGATCCAGCAGTCTGTGCTTACTAAACCCCAGGGATACAGGTACACCCTCAGGTTTGAGAAGCACTGGCCAAAGGCTCTGTCTTGACCATGTACCCCCATACGGAAAGCAGCTGATGATAACATAAAAAGGCAACCTAAACCCATACAACTGCCATTTGTCAGTTTCGTTTTTATGTGACACGGACTCTGCTAGCCTGTCCGTGGCTAGCAGAGGAGGAGGAACAGGGCCAGAGGGTCTTAATCACACAGTAGTTTGTCGTGCAACAGCTGGGGTGTGAGGTCCAGTGGGAGCCAGGAGGTTGAGGGGACACCTGCTGGCAGGACTTGGGAGGTGCTCCCTGGCAGCTGGGAATAAATGGAGCAGAGACTATCCTCACAGCTCCTCTGACCCTACCCAAGTTTCCTGCTTGCCTCTTAGGGTAGCCAAAGAGGCTAAAATGTGGGAAAATGCAATGGAAATGGACAAGACTGTAATGAGATGTGACTGTAATGAGATGTCAGTTGTGTGTGTGGGAATACCACACCGAACCGGTGGGATGGAACCCACTGCCCCCTTGAGATGGCAGAGCTCAGAGAGATGGGCCAGGGCAAGGGTGAACTGGGTGGGATGGGGTGAGCTGAGGAGCAGGAAGCAGCATCCCATCGAAGGCCCTGAGCAGCTGGGGGGGGTGGGGGGGGGGGGGGGGGGGGGGGGGGGGGGGGGGCTTGACAAGTCAGGTCACTCAACTATCTGTTTATAGAAGAGGAAACCCAGACAGAGACGAGGCTTGACCTGGACCACACCACACTAATGGCAGAGCTGGGAGCTTCTGAGGACACTGGGGTTCCATGAGGAGCCAAGGCCTCCAAAGGTGTGGGATTCAAGGGAGATAATGCCAAAGAGTGAGAGCCAACATCTCAGCAGCACACACGGTGTGCCAGGCTGCTCCAAGCGCTCCCCATGATTCAGATTCATTTACTCTTCCCACTACCTTGGGATCCTCCTCACCAAGGTCACTATTTACAGATGGGGAAACTGAGGCACTGAGAGGCTAAACGTAAATTGTGCAATGTATTTCATTATAATTGGGGATAAAAATTAACTTTATTTTAAAAATCGTACCTAGTTTTATTATTTCACGAGAATGAAGCAAGGGATAAAGGTAAGCTTAATGCTTCCTGGCTATTGATTACTGGCCAGCTGCTGGCCACTGGATAGATGATCTCTATCCAAATTGTACTCCTTATTCACTAGAGTACAGAATGGTTTAAAGACAGTCATGTTATGGACACAGGTGTGACATCATACAACTAGTAAGAGGCAAAGTCAGAACTCGAACACAGACTCTTTATCCTCACAGCTCACACTTTACCACCACTATCTGCTTGCTACTCCTCCAAGACAACCCAGAATCCTGGTGTTCAGCCAGCTCTGAAAGCCCCAGTGTTAGAAGAGTGACACCCACTTTTAAAAAGGAAACATGCCCTACTAGAAAGTTCCCCAACCTTCCAAAGAAGAAAGCCTCTGAATTCAGTGTAAGCCTCGTAGGCACAGCCTCCCCCGAGGTGACCTGTCTACAACTATGAATTTCCTTTTATTGGATTCTGCACCAATTTTACCTGTTGCTTGGAAACATGGAAGATCCTCAGAGACCCTCTGATCCAGCCCTTTTTTGACAGAGAAACTGAAGCCCAAGAAGGTCAAGGTCACCTTCACACAAGTGAAGATCAAAGAGATGAGGAATGTCACCCAGGAAGGCACCCAGAGACATCAGGAAATCTGCTTGAGGCTCCATTCTGAAATGGAACTCAAGGGTCCTGACGCCTCAGATTTCTCTCTCTCTCTCTCCCTCTCATTCTGTCATTCCCTCTCTCTCTCATTCTCTCACTCTCTCTGTTTCTCCTTCTCTCTCATACCCTCACACTCTCAAAATCCTCTTACCTGCAGCCCTGCATTCTTTGACTTTGTTGCTTCTCGCCTGGGGAAGGCTGCCAGGCCCAACTTTTACCTTCAGTGGAAACTCAGCAGTCCAGGCAGGGATTTATATCCTTGTCCTCCAGGGATTTCCTAATAGGGCTTGTGTCACTCTCTCTGACTGAGTGGCTGTGAACACACCTTTTCCCTCCTTACCGGGGAGCACCCTCTGGCTTATGGTGCTGGGTGCATGATCACTCAGTTGGGGAAGTGGCCAAGGAAACTGTGTGTAAGTTTCCCTATTTTTTTGTGACTCGCTAAAACTTACGTACTTCCAGCTGAGAGGTGGTTTTAAAGTGATGTGTATTCTGCCTGACCATGGCTCCATCAAAGAGAAAAGGAGGTCTTCTGGGCTTTAACTGGTGAGAGAATTGATGTCTGTCCCCATGGAACCCTTCTGGGATAGAAGGAGAGTTAAGCTTTGAGTCCTCCGTGTCCCAGTCTTATATGATTTCTAATTGTTAAGTGAAGGAAGGGAGTGACTTTCCAAATCTTTATTACAATTAGTGGAATTTGTCAAACCGAATAGTTTGTCTGCTGGAAATGGAAATTCGGTCCTAAATCATGTCTGTACAAAACAAATGTCTCCTAACTCCCTCTAACAGGCCCAAAGGTAATGTTGATGGCTTCTCTATCCCCTTCATCAGCCACCAGGAGTTAGAGAGGAGGGAGTCATGTGGGGTGGGAGTGGAGGAAGAGAGGCGGTAAGGCAGACCAGTGGCTGCCACAGGAGCTTGCCCACTCACTGGGACCTGCTGCAAATCCTCAGATGCACAGGGCCCCTGATGGTTTCACTGCCTTGCTGTTGGCCCAGATGGGCTTACGAACACCAACCCCATCACCCTTGCCCCCTCCACATACCCCAGGGTCCAGTGCCCTCCTTGATATGAACACGAAGCCACATGGGAAAGAGTAAAAATCTGGCCGGGACCAAGGCATGGGGCCAGAACATGAACCCTCTGGGTCCCCAAGACCTCCTGTTGGGCCAAGTTGCATAGTGTAGGCAGAGGTGTAATGTGGATCCCCCTGTTGGTGGATGGAAAAGAACATTTATCCAAACGTCCTTAAAAATCCATGTTACTAACCTTAATGACACATTCTGTCTAATTTACTCAGATACTCAGGTTCTTACAGGTGAAAAGGCAGATAGAGAAATGCTTTTAGAGAAGTCTTAGGGATTTCATATCCAGAACAAATGGCTCGAAGCTAAAAAGGCCCATTGGCCCTTGTTTTATCCTTTTGCTAACAAGGAAAATAACTTTCAGGGAACCACAGCTCAAATTGGGTAAATAAAATCTGAGAAAAATGCAATGTTGGACCTAGAAAGAAACTTAGAGGTGGTTGCAAATTGAGGTCCAGGCACTTAAGGAGACCACAGGTGAGGAAGCTGTATTAATTTATGTAATTTCATGATGGAAGCTGTAATACCCCCAAAATGGAGTTTCTTGGGCAAAGAGTAAAGGTTACACTGTATCCATGCTTATTCTTTCTCCAATGACCAGTTGAAGGGGGAGCGTTTGGTTTTGTTCTGTAATCTTGACATGGTTAGATTGACGTGTGAGCTATACATTTTGAGTCAAGCCAAGTAATTTCAAGGGTGTAAATTCACCCTAGCAGGGAAATTTCCCCAAATACCTCATCATCCCAGGATGAAGGGTATGCAAATAATTGAGTATTGTCCTCACTCTCTCTGTGGTCAACCAAACATACCAGCCTCAGCTAACCTTGCCTTGGCTGAGATCCTACTTGGTAAATAGCACAGGGAAGCCCACAGCTTAATATAGCCAAAGAGAAGAAGTGAAACCATGCAGTCTGCTTTTGGTCAAGTATAACTGCTGATCTTGTGATCCATAAAGAGGAATTTACATAACCTCACTTCTTCAATGGGAAAGTGTGATCATGGAGCCACAAGAATTGCTTGAATAGCCCTTTGAGGAATTAATGCCTCAGACCCAACCGTCACTGAAAGTACTCATGGAAAAATGGCGACCCTCCCATATCCCTCCATTTCCCATCCATGGTCTACACTGTCCCCTCCTCATTATCACTAGAGTGTTTGGTTCAATTTCTCCACCAACTGATGGGAAATGGACAAGGCACAGAATGTTCTATAGTATCTCGAAATCCTCTGAGGTTTGAGGTGAAAGTCACCCAGGATGTTTATTGCAAGGATTGAAGCAATGAGTCTTCATTTTTCGAACCCAGCCCTTTCCAAAGTCTGTTTGGGGTCAGAAATCGACAGCAATTTTCTGAAAACCTCTGTGGCAAGCTTCCAACCTGCCCTGTGATGTAGAGGCCAGAGGGTACAGAAAAGTGAGGAGGGAGTTTGAGGGAGCAAAGAATCTGTGTTGGTCACTGTGTCATGGATTATAGCAGAGACTATTTGTCCCTGGTTTGATGGGACGGCCTCTGTCAAATTATCCTCATAAATTCACTCATTCTTATCCTTGATTTGGATTCAAGACAATATGGTCACCAAGCCCCTAGGGTCATTGAACATTCCAAGGCCTGCTTTGGTCAGTGGACCAATAACAGAAAAATACTCTTGTGCCTTATTCACAGAGGCAAGAGAAAAGTCTTCCCGTCCCCATACATAATTAACAAACCAACAAACTAAACTATTGACTGCAAATGGGCTTCTAACTCATCTGTGAAAAGAAGTAAATGCATTCTGTGTGGCTTTCCAGTTGCTTCTGTAACAAATTACCACAACCAGTGGCTCCATACAACACCAATTAATTCTCTTACAGTTATGGGGCGCCTGGGTGGCGCAGTCGGTTAAGCGTCCGACTTCAGCCAGGTCACGATCTCGCGGTCCATGAGTTCTAGCCCTGCGTCAGGCTCTGGGCTGATGGCTCGGAGCCTGGAGCCTGTTTCCGATTCTGCGTCTCCCTCTCTCTCTGTCCCTCCCCCGTTCATGCTCTGTCTCTCTCTGTCCCAAAAATAAATAAAAAACGTTGAAAAAAAAATTTAATTCTCTTACAGTTCTGGAGGTCAGACGCATGGCATGGGTCTCGGAGGGCTAAGCTCCTTCTGAAGGCTCCTGGGGAAAATACACTTCTAGAGGTTGTCCTCACTGATTCACTGAGGTCTCCAGCACCCTCACCTTCCCCCCGGGGTCCCATCATCACATGACCTTCTTCTATGTGTTCCTTGCTCTCTCTTGTGAGTTACGCTGGTGATTATATTTGGGACCCACTCAAATACACCAGGATAATCTCCCCACCTGAAGATTATTACCTTAATCTCATCTGCAAAATCCCTTTTGCCATAGAAGGCAACATAACCATAGGTTTCAGGAATTCGGACCATGGGCATGTTCAGGAGACAATTGTTCAGCCATGTACAAGCACAGTTTGCTCCCAGTTCTGTTTTGTTTTTTTTAATACCCACAATAAAGGCAATCTATAAAACTCATTTGGAGATAAAACTTCCAAGTCACCATCCCCGGCCTTTTATGACTGTAAGTCTCAGGTCAAATGGCCTTCCTGGCCACTGTCACTCACACCCCAACCATGGACCACCCTAATATAGCCCCAGTTTCCATACTGGCTTCTAGTTCCCACGCAGCTCTATTTGAGTCATGAGAACTTTCTCTGCCTTCTAATAATCTCTTAGTAACGTATAGAAAATTTTGCTTTTTCGGCTGACACACTTCTGAAAAGCGGTGACGGGGCCTGAGTCATCCTGCAGGGCCCCAGGGGTACCATTGCCTTCTCATCTGTGTATCATGTTATATAATGCACGGCCTCACAGTGACCCCACCTGCGTGGTGACACACCTGGCCTGCGACAGGCACGCACACTTCATGCAGAGCCCCGACCCCTCCAGCACACTCATCACCCCTGGGGCAGGTCGTCACAAGCAGGCTCAGCACTTGGGCTCAGCAGCCTTCAGCAGCTGGAAGGAGGGCCTCAACTGAAATTAATCACAAAGGAGAATCCACGCTTCTCAGCAGCCTGTCATGGGCTGGCACTCCAGCTTCCCCAGGAGGTGACATCCACAGTGGTTACACATGGTGCTTCATCCAGCACTACTGAAGCAATTGCCTCTGCCCCCTTGGGCCTGTGGGTGGCCCATGACCTCATGCCACTGCAGCTAGCCTCAGTGCAACAATGCATACACTGGACAGGGAAAGGGTGGTGATGGTCACACCCCCCTAACCTGGTCTGGGAGAGGTTGAGCTTAGAAGCATGGGGCAGTTATATGCCAATGTGTATTTTATGGACGAGACAATGTTTTTAGAACAACTTTAAAATGAATCCACAGGGAACTCCATTCCTATGTCTGCCAAGTCAGGGCCAACCATTCCCCTTCATTAACCATGACCTTTATTAACAACATCTGTATTGTGAGGCTCTGACATCCGGGCCTTGCTGAGCCCTCAAGGGCTAGCCAACTCCTAGAGGTGGCAAACGACTCCCCCTACAAGCACATCTCTCAGGCGTGCCCCAACCAATGTGTGCCCATGCCCCAACCACTTACGAATGTGTCTACCTCCATGGACTTGGTCCTCATTTGGGGGGTCCATTTCCCCTTCAGATCAAACACCTTTTGAAGCATTCCAATCCTTTGGGTTGAGAAGAGTAGATTAAAAAAAAAAACAAAAAAACTTTGGGGTGCCTGGGTGTCTCACTTGGTTAAGCATCCGACTCTTGATTTTGGCTCAGGTCATGATCTCCCGGTCTCTGAGTTCAAGCCCTGCATCTACCTCGGTGCTGACAGCTCAGAGCCTGGAACCTGCTTCAGATTCTGTGTCTCCCTCTCTCTCTGCATACCACTCCCCCGACTCACATTCTCTTTCTGACTCTCAATCTCTCAAAAATAAATAAACATTAAAAAAATTTTTTTTAATAAAAATAAATTGTTTTCTGTACCCTGTCAGTATCCCGGGTCTCAGCAAAGGGCAGGACAGTGTAGAGGCAAAGCAAGTGCCCCAGCAGGGGAAGGAAGAGCCAGCACAGCAGGGGCAGGGAGCAGAGAGCCCTGTGCCAGCGAGAACCATGCCTGAGTCCCTAGGGCAGCAGTTCTCAAAGTATTGCCCACACCAACAGCAGTGGCACGTCCTGAGATCCCGGTAGAAATGGCATTCTGAGCCCTCATGCCAGATTATTAAATCAGAAATAGGGAGGTACCTGGCAACTGGTGCTTAACAGCCCCCCCACCCACATGATACCCATGTGATTCTG